ATTTATACATAATTTACATTTGTAAATTATATCCTTCATTAGACAGGGAGCTCCCTGAGAGCAGGGCCTGATTTTTCCTCTCTTTCCTCCGACACTCTAGTGATTAGCCCAGAGCCTGGTACACAGCAGGAGTTGAATAAATGTTTGTTTTCTTGTTGGCCTGACTTGCTTTATTGTGCAGTTGAGGAAACTAGATCTGTAGCAGTAGAGTGACCCGCCTTTGTGACAGGAGCCCGGGCACTTGCTGTTGTACCAAGGTGGTCACTGAAGACATTTCTGAGATCTCAAAGTGAGGCATTTTAACATAATGATCAAAACAGGTTATTGTTAGGGTGAAAAATAAATCATAGTACATCTGTCTTCTTGCAGCCAAGGGAGATGAAAATGATTGCTTTTCCTAGAAGGCGCTATTTGGAAACAAAGTTAATTGCAAGCCTCAGAAAGTGCAAACAGCTATGTGTTGTATGAAGCTTTTTCCCACTACAGATCCAGAAAGTTGCATTTGAATGACAGGTTGGTAATAGAAAAAAGATGAACGTAGACTTTGATTCTGGAAATGAGAGCCTGGTCTTCCAGTTCCATTTGAGCTTTCTTCCTCTGATTTCTTAGTCTGTACACTTTGTGTGTTTGGTCAGCCAGAAGACTATAGCAAGTCAAGGGGTTTTAATGTTGCAGCTTTCTCTCCATTAGGTCTTCCCCAAATGTGACACACATGAAGACTTAATTTAAAGGTAACTTGTTAATTTACACCTCAGGTGGTGAGCCTGTCAACCAAAAAAGTGGCACTAAAGACAGGCCCAGTGGGAGCTGTAAGAGATTATTGTTTTGGCGGTGGGAACACTTTCAGGATGTAAAACTTAGGGCTGCCCTTTCCCATCTTAACAAATTTTTTTTGGTTCAGTTGTCAGCCAACGTATATCCATATGTGAGATGTAAAGGAATACCTGAAATTGGAAAGCTCTTAGATAATTAATTCTTTATTCTTCTAGAAGAGCCTTTAAATAAACAAAAGCCTCCCCAATGGGCCACAGAATCATAGGATGTCACTTCTGAAAAGGATCTCAAAGATAACATAGTCTAATCCTCAGTTTACAGAAAAGGAAACCAAGGTCCAGAGAAGGGAAAAAGTTTTCCTAAGGTTCACAGAACCAGGGCAGGAGCCCAACTTTCCTGACCCCTGGCGCAGTACTCTTTCTCCTGCACTAGGTTGTCTCTCAAGATAGATAAAATAGAGGAAATTAATATTGGCAAAGCTAGAGTGATCAGAAAAAACTAAGGGAAACAAATGCAGTCAATGGGAAACTCAGTGTTTGACCAGTTCATTGCCTTTTCTGATGATAGGTGTCCGGATGCCTTGCAAACCAATGCAGACCAATGTCCAATAATCACAATTTCTCAACTGTGATTCTTGAACTTGGATCAGAAATTATTCTTTTCTGGTGTTGTATTTAGCTTGAAGTAGGGTAGAGGAGCACAGAACTGAATTCGTTTTTTATGGTTCAAGCATACATTTCAGGTGAATAAGAGATGAAAAGAGCATTTTAAAATGGAAACCACGTTAATGTATAGCTTTTTTCAATTGACAAGTTAGTTTGCTGATAACAGTTTGGAAAAATATATTAACTTTTTTTTGTATTCATCAAATTGCTTTCCAGTGTTAAATCTAAGGATGAATGAGCTTTGAAATACTTCTCCTTAAATTGATAACGGCAGGGTCTCCAGTGAAGCTCTCCAGCTTCTACTGGCTTACACTTGATTTGCTTTAATATGGGTTATGGGAAGAGGAAAACTATTGGAACTCCATTTAGAGCTGCCTGGCAACAGACAGGTAGAAAAGACTTCGAATTACTCTTTTTCATTACTGAGGGCCCCTTAGGACTACATTGGAAAGAATTCTGTCTGCCCCAGATAAGAGTCTCCCAGCAGTTTAATGTGCCAATCAGTTGTGCTCAGCAGGCCAGAATCATCATATTGCAGCTACTGAATAGTTCCAGACCATATGTTCCAAAGGATGGGAAATGTGATATGCTGATGATGGAAAGGGGGAAGTGTCAGGGACTGAATTGTACGGAAGCAACAATGCTCTGTTTTGGGGGGAAATGTCCCACCAGCTTATAGAAGTGCCAGGCAGATCTCCAAGCCTACAATTAGGAATAGTGCCCATTCAGCACACACTTGCCCAGCTACCAAAGCAAATTTTTTGGTATTGGATAAGTACATAAATAAATGAAGAAAGAGGAGCTGGACATGGCAGTGGGGTTTCTTTTGTCTCAGGTTGAGGTAAGTATTAAATCTGCACAAATCATCTTCAAAATCAAGCTGGATTTGGATTAACTAGGGCCTGATTAGCTTTATTGGCCAGTACCATAGTTTGCAGAGGAAAAAAAAAAAGATGCTGGCTTGAGATGTCTTTGAATAAAAGAAGTGAGAGAGATACAATTTGCTTTTCTCCTAAGAGTGTTCTAATTGGTCTTCGCATTTCATTTTCCACTCAGCTACCAAGTGATACTCCTAAAGTGAAGGTCTGACCACATCACCTTCCCGCTCCATAAATTCCAGTGGCTTCCTGTTACCTCTAGGATTAAAGATCAAATGCTCTGTTTGACATTTAAAGTCCTTTACAACAGAGCTTCTTTTTACCTTTCCAGCCTTCTTGCATTCTACCTCTCCTTTATGCTCTCTAAAGTGTAGTGACAATGACCTCTTGCTGTTTCTCACACTTGACACACCAGTTCCCGCCTCCATCCCTTTGCACTGTCCCACATGCCTACAATGCTTTCCCTCCCAGCTTCCTTCAAGAATCACATTGAATGGTACCTTATCCAGGAGGCCTTGCCTGGTCTCCCTTACCTCTCTCCATACTCCCTGACTAGTATCTTACATCTAAGAGGATCTTTCATCTTTATATTGTCTATTTCTTGCATGTATATAATTATTTGCATTCTATTCCTTTCAGTGAGAGCAGGCACTGTGTTTTTGCTTCTCTTTCTGTCTCTAGGGCCTGGCCCATAGGAAGCACCTGATAAGTACTTATTACCCAACTAACTTTTCATACTGATCATCTTGAGATGGTGAATAATCCCCCTTCCATAAATTAAAAGGACCTAGCAGGTGCTTTATTTAGAGTGAATATAAAAGAGATGTGCAGTATATTATCTGCATTAACTCAACACTTTTGTATTAGAGTGAAGGAAAATATTGATGGTACAACATATATGTAAATGGAAGGGAATGCTGGAATTTTCTTCTTTGGCTCTTACAATACCACAACATAACACCTACTGATTAAGCACCTACTGTGTGCAAAGTACTATACTAAATACTGAAATGGAACCTTTGACTCATAGTTACCAGTCTTGGGTTGGGGATGGTGTCTAGCTGAATATTCATGACAAAATGGCAGACTGCACTAACAAGGGTAGTCTGGAGTTTGTTGGGATGTGAGAGAAAAGCCTAGTGCAGGGACTTCAAAGATGTAGTTTTTCAGTGTTGGAGCAAACTGCTTCTGGACTCAAAGGCTCTTCTACCTCACTCCTTCTCCCATGGCATAGTTGACTAGAGAGATTGAATTAAAGTAGTTTCCAGAGCCTTGATTGCAGAAATATGGTTCTTTGTTCTCTCCTATGGTCCTGGCATGCATAGTCAGCATTGAGGAACTTATTTGGGTAACATAAACATTACGTATTAGAAATTCAAATGCAAAACATAAAATAAAAAATGAAAAGCTAAAGGAACACTTCCCCAACAAGAATCACAAATCCCTGTCTCCTTTTTGAAACCATGGCAACAAACACTGTGCTATCGCTTCAGCTTACAAATCAGTCAAAATTATGTTGAAGGTGTAACAAAATTGATAAGTCCTATTAAAATAGAATCTGAGAGCAAACTACAAAGAAGAGCAAGGAGTAGTTAGCTGGCCTTCACAACAGCAGCAGTCAGCACCTCTTTATTACAACATTTTGGTATGTTAGTGTGAGATTGTGGCAGCGTACAAGAGGGGTCCACTGGGTAGTTTGGGGGTTCTCTAGATGTAACAGACTTGAACATGCCACATACAAACAACTGTTCCACTCACTAAAAATACATACTGGCACCATGAGGACTCAGACTACATAGTGTCTTCTGACAGTAGCAGACTTTGATTTGAGAAAATACTTATCCACTGCTAGAGATAGCAGTACTTAGCCGTCATTACCCTTGATCCTCTCACCAGGCTCAGGAGGGTACGTCACTGTGCTAATGTGAGCTCATAAAATGGGCTGTTTGTGGTCCCATGAGATCCATCTGATTTTAATTGGGTGATCCATCTATTGTCCATCATCCTTCATACATGACGGGCCCGTCCTCTTTTTTCCAAGATAGTCCGCTTCCAATACATCTGTCACTTTATAGTCATAATCAGCCCAGTGGGCACTCCACCTGGGAGATGGGAACTTTGAAGGCATCCTATCCACATTTCAATTAGAACCCTGAGCCTAATTTAGGCTACAAATTTCACCCTACTTGGTATTTCCCAACACTATGGTCCTTGTGATTCAGAACTACCACTGTCTAGATGAAAATTCTTTTCTCCTGCTCTTTATTACTGTACTGTAATCTCACCCCTATGTACCACAGTCCTAACTTTCCCCAGCATATATCCTCCTTTGTCTATCCCTTCCATTGTGTTTTCTGCAGCTGTTGATCCATTGTTAACCCCACTTCACTGTTAGGCCCTTCCCATATTCATTCCAGGTCCTGACACTAACAGAATTGAGCTTTCCCCCTAAACATGCCACATTCCTTGCCACCTTCTCTGGGGCTTTCCATTTTTACTCCTCTGGTCCTCCTCCTTTCCCCCCAGACTCACAGAGTCTAGAGGTAAATTTGGCATTCTCTTTGCTCCCCGCTACCACTTCCAGACTCTCCCTTTGTCATCACCTTAAAACCCCCTTCTTTTTTTCGCAAGTTCATAAAATTGAATCACACTGTCCAGATCATTTTGACTGCCGTCTGCAAACCTCCAGGATAGCCATCCACCTTCTTTAGTGATGTCAGCACGTCTGGCTTTGCCGTCTTTTTCTCCATCCCTAGTCCTACCATTGTCCTTGGCAGTATCTCTTTTCAGTCTTATAAAATAACAAATTTTATTTTGGTGACTTATTATGACTTGGGCCTACTTATTCATCTATGTGTCTGTATATCTTTATTTTTCTTCTTTTAATCAAATTGACATCTTTTTCTTTTTATATTACATTCATTTTCAAAAATACCATTCTCCATCTCCCCGCCCCCCACACTCACCTAGTGAGCCCTTGCTTATTTCACTATTTGCATCTACTGGTCCTCCCAGTTCTTCAACCTCCTTAACTCCCACAACTTATATCTCTACTCAGGCAACCATAGGGATGGTCACAACTTATACTTCAACTTTGCCTAGACCAGGGATGGGGAACCTGTGGCCTCAAGGCCACATGTGGCCTTCTAGGTCCTTGGGTGAGGCCTTTTGACTGAGTCCAAGTTTTACAGAACAAAACCTCTTATTAAGGGGATTTGTTCCATGAAGTTTGTATTTAGTCAAAGGGCCACACTTGAGGACCTAGAGGGCCACATGTGGCCTCAAGGCTTCAGGTTCCCCACCCCTGCTAAACCATTCTGCTCCAGAGATCCTGAAATCTCAGACCTTCTGCTATAACTACAACTTCCTATCCTTCCACAGCACACCACTGCTGTGCTTCTTCTGAGCCTTTTCATTGGCCTTTCCTTCCTTGATCCCCCCCTTACTCCATCAATGCTTCATTTCATTTTGACATTCATTTGTTAAGCACCTTCTGTGTTCTTGGCACTTGGGATACAGAAGCCAAAGTATACTAGTTCCTGCCTTCAAGGACTTTATTTTCTAATGGTGGCTGGGTTATACTGGGATATTGCTAAATTAACACAAGATAATTGTAGGAGAGAAAGACTTCTAACCAGAAAGGTTTCACACAGAATTTGGCATCTGACATTAACTTTAAAGGCAGCTAGAAATTCTGAGAGACAGATGTGGGGAGAGAGTATATTCCTGATATGGAAGATTATATGTGCAAAGACATAGAGATGGTAGATAGTATTTTGGATTTAACAAATGCCTAGTATGTCATTTGGGGTAAAATGTAGGGTATGAAGAGGACGAATAGGAAATTTGTGTATCAGATTTCCAAATGATGCAGGGTCATGAGGGATAGCACATTGAATGATACAGTCAGGATGTACAAAGATCTTGACAGACTAGAGCACTGAGCTGAATTTAATAAGGTAAGACTCAATAAAGATCAATGTAAAGTATTATACTTGGGTTCAAAAAGTCAATTTCTTAAGTAAAAGATGTGAGAGACATAATTAAACAATGGTTTGTCTGGGAACAGTCTGAGACCTTTAGTAGACAGTAAGCTCAATATAAGTCAGCAATGTGATGTGGCAACCAAAGAGCTAATGTGATCTTAGGCCACATTAAGAGAAGCATAGCTTCCCAAAGTGATCTCATTGGATTCTGTCCTGGTTAGACATAATGCCTGGAGTACTATGTTCAGTTCTGGTACCACAGTTTTGAAAGGACATTCATAAACTGGAGAAATCCCTGAAGAAGGGAACCAGGATAGTAAGGGGCTTCAAGTTTGTGTCATATAAAGATCAGCCGAAGGAACTAAGGATATTTAACCTGAATAAGACTTGGGATAGGAGGGATAAGATGACATCTGTTTTGGGGTATTTGAAGGACTGCTGTGTAGAAAATGTATTAGGCTTCATATCATCATCGGATTGTATATTTAGAGCTTGTATAGTCAAGCCACTTTATCTTGTAGGTGAGAAAGCAGATGCTCAGAGAGGTTATGTGACTTGTCCAGGGACATAAAGCTAGTGAATATCAGAAGCAGAATCTAAACCTATGTGTGCTTGACTCTTCAGTCAAGCATTCTCTCCACTATACCTTTCTTAGACTTAGTTGGGTTTTTTTGGGCCCAGAGGATAGAATCAAGAATAATGGGTGAAATTGCAAAGAAGCAAATTCAGGATTGAAGTCAGGAAAAATAATCCCCCAAATTAAAGCTATTCATAAATGAAATGGACTGCTTCTGGAGATCATGGCTTCTCCCTCACTGAAAGTCTTCAAGCAGAGACAACATAACCGCTTCTCCAGTATGGTTTTGGCGGGGGGGGGAGGGCGGGGGGGGGGTATGTGCTAAAATAGATGGCTACTGAGGTACCTTCCAAACTTAAGATTCTGGGATTCTGTGAAATAAGTATGGAAAAGTAAGCCAAATCATGGAAATTTAATCATCCTTAGAGAAGATGCATAGCATGGTCATACCTGTGTCTTAAGAATATTAAATTGACAGTTTCTGAAGGATGGATTAGAAAAGAGATAGACTGAAAGCAGTGATACCCCTGAAGAAGCTATAATGATGGTCCAGGAGAGAGAATTGATGAAGGTCTGAGCTAGGATAGTAGCTTTGTGAGTGGAGTGAAAGAGATGAAGACAAAAGATGTTCTGGAAGTATAATTGATAATACCTCCCATATGATTGGATATGAGTGTGGGGAGAGAGAGAGAGGAGTCAAGTCTAACTTCTTGGTTGCAAACCAAGGTAACTAGAAGGATAGTGGGGCCCTCCATAGAAGTCTGGAAGTTAGGAGGAGGGTCAGGTTTGAAATGGGGGGGAAGAGATAGGGAATTTCATTTTGACCATGTTATGTTTGAGATACAATGTAATATCCAAGTGGGCATGTCTAGTAGACAGTTGGCTATATAGAACTGAATTTCAAGAGAGAAGCTAGGTCTAGACATAAAAATTGGGGAGTTATTTGTGTGGAGATGTTAGTTGAACCCCTAGGAGCTATCAGGATTTCCAAGAGTGTAGAGATTAAAGAGATGAGGGCAGAACATTGGTCTGACAGAAAAAGAACCAAGGTAGGGAACAGTGTAATATAAATCAAGGGAGAAGACTTGGCTGGGATGGTCGGCGATGAATAATTCAAGTAGAATGAGAACTAAGAAAAGCCTATCAGACCTAGCAGTTAAAGCATGATAGGCAACCTTGGGAAGGACAGCTTTAATTAAGTTGGGAGCTGAAAGCCAGATTATAAGGGGCCAAGGGTGAGTGGGAGATGAAGAAACAGAGGCAGCAAGTATAGAATGGCTCCTTCTAGGGATTTGTCTATGAAAAGGAGAAGATATATCTACTTGAGACAATGGTGGGATCAGTTGAAAGATTTTTCTTTTGGTTTAAGTTTTATTGATTCATTTTGTTTTGTCACCTGTCATTTTCTTATATATTGTCCCAATCATTCACTCCCCTTAGTGAACTTTCTCTTGTGACAAAGAAAACCAGTTAAGAGAAAAAAACCTAATCAACAAAATGACCATGTCTCACAATGAATGCATTATTCCCAGATACAGTGCATTTCAAGTGAATTTGTCAAAAGAATAGAGTGACAGGAAATGAATCAGTGATGAGGAAGAGAAAGATTGCAGAAGGAAGGGGGGATGATTAAGGGAGCAAGCTTTTGGAGAAGACAGGGGGAAATCACATCAAGGCCGCAAGTAGAAGTTTTGGCCTTAGCAAAGAGAAAAGCTGCCCTTCATCAGAGACTGGAGCAAAGGAAGAAAGAGGTATAGAGGAAAAAGGGGGAGCTCATGGTAAATGATGCCAATTTTCTCAGTAAAGTTGGAGACGAGGTCTTCTTTGGAGAAAAATAGAAGTATGAGTAATGTAGAGAAAACCTGGAATTGCTTATGTAAAGAATGCAGTGCAGCCACAGTCTGGAAACAGTAAAAGGTAATAACAAGGGTGTCCTAAGGTTGAAGTTTTGTGAACAGTGATGGGCCAAGGGGGCAGGGGATTCAAGGATACAAGATGGCATTTATTTTAACTGTCCAACCATAGAGACGTGACTAAAGGGGGGCATGGATGCCAAATTCTTGTTGATAGACTGATATGTGAGGGAGGAATGGATAGAATGATGAGAATGAAGTGTAGGTTTAGGAGAATCAAGGCCAAGGGTGATATGGTCAGGAAGTTATGATCAGAGAGAGGAATTTCAGCATTTCCAATCATGGAGACAGCGCACAGTTCTGGGGTTTGGCGAAATCTAAGACGTGATTATCCTTTTTGGTTGTTGAGGTGAAGATGTGGGTTATGGAATTGAGATTGATGAGCTCGTTGACCACGGTGTCCAAGGGGATAGCAGTGTATATGTATGGAAGTCCCTGATGCTTAGAGAAAGGGTTTGGGTTATGGAAGAAGATTTTGAGACAGCTACTGAATTCATTGAAAAAAGACAATGATCTGGAGACCAATAAATATGTCTGTAACTAGGATTTTGACCATTTGACATAAACAGATACAGCAAATCTTAAAGTAGAATTTCTGAGTGATGGTGCCAGAAGGACAATTTGGAAATGGCACTGAGTTGCGAGGACTATATCTTTTCCTCCTCCTGAGCCAGTATTGGGGGATATGATAAAAAGATCACACAGTATCGGCTTGGGTGACCAGATGTGCAGTATCCTTGGAGTTGAGCCAGGTTTTGGTGAGTGCCAAATGGTGCAAAATGAAGAGACCTAGGATGAAGAGAAGTTTGTCAACAGTAGGGTGAATGGAACCAAGACCCAATAGAATAGGACAGGAGAGGGAATATGAACTGTGGAAGGGTATGAATCAGGTGAATGGGGATGAGAGTAGAGAAAAAGGTGCAGATATCAGGGAAAAGAATTCACCTTAGCAGACATTGACTTTCAGTCACAGATGTTAAGCAAAATGGAAAGTATGAGTTTGTCAGCCATAGAATGGGGGACAAATCAGTTGATTGGGACTGCTACCATCTAAGGTCTTGTGACAGATGGGCATAGCATAGACATGGGGGCGTTGGCTTCACTGTTCTGACTTTCTGTCAAAGCTCTAATCCTATATTTAGCCATTTTAATAGTGTACCGTCCATATTCAAATTCTGTTACGTTCTTACTAATGAAATCCTGGATTACCCCCAATATTGCCTCTCTGCTCCTACTTCTCAGTCACCAAGTATTTCTGGGAGGGAGACATGGAA